AGACAAAGCCTGTATACATTTGTTACTGCAACTGCACACATACTTTAATTTTCCACTACCTATCAAACTCCCTCTGAATACAAACACAACCACTGAAAGGGAATTTGTGAGATACCCGAGGGATCAGCTGTACTCTGTTTCCACCAGTGCTGCCAAAGGCATGAGAAAACAGTAAATTTAGAAATTAGTGTTCAGGTAGCATTCAGAATTGGTAGCAAAGCAAGACAGAAGAAAAAATAAGGCAATGTACTTGGTTACTTTGGGTTTTCCAAGCTCTGGAGCATTTTTTATTTCTCTTATTTACATATTCACAGGGGAAACAGAGGAGGGAAGGACACACAGCTGCCTACAGGGATTCCCCTTCATATAACAAAAATTCCTGGATAAGAACAAAGTGTTTCATTTCTGTCCTGTTTGGAGGAAGAAACAGTAATTTTCAGTTTCTCTTTCACTTCATTGCTGAGAGCTGCAAGAGCTGGAGGTATTGTGATGGAAATGCTTTTTGATCTATCTGCTATAAGAATGACGGTGACTGTACATAAGTAATTTTAGGCATATTCTGATATATCTTCTGAAAATTACTCCAGACTTTATGAACCTTTATTTTGCAATGAAGTAAATAATCCACCATACACTGGTAGAGTAGAGCAGAAATTTTCAATGAGAATGGAAATCTCTCCCTATCACATTATTAAGTATCATTTTATAGAGGTTTTTATGTGAATTTCATGAGATTCAACATAGTGATTTTACTTTTAAAGTTATATATAAAGATAGCTTTTAGCTCCTTCAGAGGCACTAGTCATAGAGAAGTGCTCTTCTGGGAAGGCCAACAAGGCACGAACACTGACCCCAAATTCTGAGCTGCCAGCAGAGCCTGAGGTTTAGCCAGACAAGACTGCTGAAGAGATCAGCTGGGAAGACAAGCTGACATCCAGATGCCACTGCCTCAAAAACTCATTCCCAAGCTGGGCATCTGTACCCTGCTGCTGCCAAAATCACCCTATGAGTGGCCACAGCAGTCAGCTTCAAGGATGAAGCAGATGGAAGAGGAGCTGAGACCGAGCGCATGCCTGCCAGCCGCGGAAACACTTGCTGCCTGGGGAGTGATACCATTGTGCTTGTGTGTGCACATACCAGCGTGCCCTAAAACCGTTTCAACTTTCAAAGTTCAAGTACTGTCAAACACAGTTACGGACTTGTGTCTCTAATGACAGGATGCAACTTACTAGCAGCAGTGAAGAT